AAGAACACACGATTTACGTGGAAACCCCAAATCGGGGAGAAAACCACGGCCGCTCAACAACGGCACCCAAACTTCCACTAATCACCAAGAACCAAGTGGGTACAACAAGTTCTCCTCTCTAGTAAACACTAGAGGCATACACAATCATCAAGGAGCAACCTTGGAACAACAACAATCAACAATTCAACATAAAATGGAGTAAAAACTCCCAAAAACGCAGGTCTGAAAACGCAGCTAGAAAACAGCCTTCCAGGCATCAAAATGAGAATCTGACCGTTGGATTTGAAGAGGAGTATGTGAGGAACAACATACTAAAATTTGAGCACGATCGGACTTCGTTTGGCCTTCGATCCGGAGGTGAAAAGTTGCTGCTGTAGAGAGTGGCGGAAATCTTTTTTTCTTCTCTCTTCCTGCGTTAGCTACTGCCCATTCTTCACCTCTTCTTTTTCTTTCTTTCTCCCTTATCCCTTTCTCTCTTTTTTTTTCTTTTCATTTATTTAGTATATGGGCCACCATAAAATATTTGGGCTAAAACTTTACACACAAAAAATAAGCCCAAAACAAAAGAGAGATATAATGTGTTGTCCAATTAAAATTGAACACTTCCTCCATGTAGGAGGGAAATTTCCCAACAGACAGCAACCTTCCTTGGGCTCTATCTGGCCTCTGGATAGTGCTAGTGATTATACTCTGCACACTAATACTACTACTATGAAAGAGAATTGCTCAATGGTAAATGAATAAAAAGTAGGGTGGGCAAAAAAAACGGATCGAAATGGTACCGAACCGTTTATAGTATTTTTGAATGGGACTGATTTGTTCTATCCCGGACCGAAACCGAACCGGTATCAAATGGAACGTGACCGTGATACAAATATTTAAAATTGATTATCACGGACTAAAATGTTCAAAGCTATTTACGGAGTATCTCAAATACTTATTTGTTTACTTTCATCTAACCATATATGGAGTACATCGTATTGTATTATTCTTTTTTATTATTCTTTCATTATTATTACTACTATGAGCAATAACTTTTAGAAATTATTAATAGTCTAATATTGTATGAATTCAAAAAAATCTATTCTTTAAACTTGGACTCGTTATCTTTTATTTTTTATGTTTGTGATTCTTTGAAATTTTGAATCAATACCTTTTTTAACAAGTGAAATTTGCACGGAATAAGACTAAAACATAAGTCATTTCTCAATGTAAGACTTAAACTTTTTTATTCCCTAAATAGGACTTAATAATGACTAGTGAGAAGAATAATGTCCAAGTGATGGTGAACATTTAGTTGAATAATGACTAATAAATAATGACCAATGATCCTACATTGGGAAATAAAAACATATGGTCCTATACTGAGAAAGTCATTATGTTTTAGTTCTATTTAGGTAAATTACTCTTTTAACAAAGTGCTGCTTTTCTATACAAAATTATAGTTTTATTTTAATATTCTTTCAGTAATGCATGTTTAATTTTTTGGCAAGGTTTGAGCATGCGTATGGTATTATACCGTTTCGTTCCAAAATGGAATGGTACCGAATGGGTTTAGGGTTCATCATGTACCGATACCGAATCATTTAAATAAGAGCGGTCCATAATAGATTTCGGTAGTATCATGCGTTGTCACAGGCCTCCGCGCTCACCCCTATAAAAAGGATGAACTCCATCTCGGCGGTCCCATCCGATCCGGTCTGACGATCACTAAGATGAGATAAGTTGAACTTTGATCGTAAATTGGTAATAAATAGTAGAGGCTGCACCTGGTACTTGTAAAAGCCCTATGCTTAGCCTCTCAGTGCAGTTGCTAGGAATCAAACTCGGGTCTTACTCTTTTGGGACTCTTTGTCTTTGGCAACTGTGCAACGCTCACCGGCAAGCTCAAAGGGAAATGAAGTTTTAACCTCAACTGTCTAATAAGAAATAAGATTGTCAATGGTCGAGAAAAAAACTTTGTGCAGACTGCAGAGCATAAATGTTCTACACATCTTCGTCAAGAGTTGGATTCAACCACATTATGTACACAAGATCTACCATAGAATGTTTGGATGTTCTAACAAGCAACTATTTAATGGGTGTTGCTAAATCCATACCTTTTATAAATAAATGGACAAGTTTATCCCTAAAATATAAAAACAATGAAAGACAACAAGTGGACTAAATTAAGAGTAAAATTAGGTATTTGTCTCAAATGAGATAGATACAACAAAAAAAGTAGGGTGAATTTAGCATCATCCTTATTTAATTTAGTTGTATATAAATAAGCTTTTGTGAAAAGGCTCATGTATTGTTACACGAACATTAGGTCCCTAAATGTGAAGTAAAAAACATACTCCATTTTACTCTGCATTTATGAGAATAGAATATGGAGTGGGCGATGGGCCAATTGGACAAGGTTGAGGGGAAACCTTTGAGGATAAAGTGTATTTTATTGGCTTGAGTAAAATATTGATTAAATTCTAAAATAGGAGTTAAAATATAAAATCTTCAAAATAGGAGTTAATCTGCGTACAAATCATCTGTACATTTCTTGCACAACTCAATCCCTACGCGTTGCTCCTTTTGCTCATCTGCCATAGTTCCAATTTCCAAAGCAAAAAAGAAAACAATTCATCAACAATGCTCCACTCCAAACTTGTTGTCGACGCGGATGCCCACTACCTCTGAGTTGCAGCGCCCCAGCCATTGCTGTCGCTGTGTCCCTGCCAATATCACTTGAATCTCTGTCACCGCCAAGTCCTGCTTCGTCGCCGCTGTGCCTTTGCTGTCAAAATCCATCATTGCCACTGTTGATTTTTCACCGTCAAAACCGACATCACCACTCTCTGTCATTTTCACCCACCTAGCATCAAAATTTGCACCGTCATCGTCGCAATGTCACATTAACTTTCAATACGGTGTCAAAGAAAGACATTATGACAAATATGACACCACACAATGTCATACATGACAATATATAATGCCACAAATGCCCAAATATAATGCCACACTGTGAATTTACATTGTCACACATAGGCATAATGCCAAATCAAATTTAATGTCAAAGACATAATGGCAAACATGACACCATACAATGTCACACGAGACACAATGTGAGTTCACAAATGTCACACAAAGGCATAATGCCAAACCAAATCCAATGTCATGCTCGACTGTTTGGCTTCAATTAAAGATTCAAAGCGAATTCACCCACTTTTGAAATTAGGCTTTGAAGGAGGGAGATGGAGGTGGGATGGCTAGGCATCGGTGCAACAATGAATCTGAGAGGGGTGGGGGTGCATGACGGTGGCGATGGTGATGCAATTAAGTGGTAGCGGTGGCGATTGTAATCGATTGAAAAATGGGGTGGGCGGTGGAATGGAGATCGGCGATGAGCAAGCAGCGACAAGTCTAAGATAGATGGGGTGCATGGCGGCGGCGATTGCGCTGTGATTCGGCAATGGTAGCGGCGATTGAAGTGGATTGAGGAAGAATGGGTAGGGGTGCATGGCGGCGACGACGATGGCATTGTGAATCGGTGACGGCGACGATGGAGGTATGAATCGGTGACGGAGGCCATTGAGTATATTTAAGAGGGGGGATGACAGAAAGAGATTTGCGTATTAGATCGGGATAAGGTCTGAGAATGGAGCATTGGGACCCGTGGTACTTTATATATCTATATTAATAATATAAGTCTTATTTAGGATAGTTTAAGTTTAAGATCATATTTTGGGAATATGGTATATGTTTTGCTTTTATTTAGAGGTTTTCTTTATTTTATTCTTTCATTTGCTTGTACACCTTAACAAACCTCTCACCATGTTATTGTCCTATCCATAATGGGTTTTAATGGAGTATATGGTTCAATTGGCTCCCCCAACATATAATGCAAGAATTTAAACACAATAATCAAAAACAATATAACAGGGGGGGGGGGGATTTTCAAAGTTCAAAAAACAACCAAAATCTTATAATTCAAACAAATAAAACTGGTAAACAGAAAACATTGTGCATGTTTTATTTTAATGGGGAAGAGATATCTAAAAGGTTTTCATTAATTTTCTCGAAAAGATGTAAAATGTTTGCATTGATATTTTATTATTGCCGTAAACTGGCCAAATGTCAACGAGATTCTTACCAGCAGTCTGTAGAAGCATTCTAGACTAAATTTAAAATTTTTAGAAGAAAAAAGATGATGGGAAGACATTGAAGTATTACTATAGAGCTCTCCATTGAGAAAAAAACTATTTTCCTTGGCCTACTCTTTGTTTGGAATGCCATGAGAAGTGCCAACGGTTTCCGAAGCAACGTTGCTTTCTGGTGGCACATTGTCCGTAGCATCCCCATTCTCTGGCGAGACATCCTCTCCGTGCTTAACGGCCTCAACACTCTCAGTTTCTTGATGAGAAGAAGCAGTTGCTTCAGTTTCCGCAACTTGGTTCTTCACAGTTCCAACCTTCACATATTTGCTCATAAACTTATACTCCCAGTCTTGCAAGGCCTCTAGCTCAAATGGGCCAAGCCCGGATATGTCACCCGTGAGGTCCTTCTCCTCAAATGACATCTTAGCAAGAGCTCTACTAGCATCCTTCCCCGCAAACAAAGCGTAAGGTCCCCCTGGTCCGTAAAAGATTCTGCCATGATACGCAGACATACAAATAAGCCTATGTGCACAAGTGAAACTCAACCCTTTTAAAAGGAGCCTCATTTATTTTTAAAAAAATCTAAGTCCAAATGAGGCTAATTAGACAAAGAGAAAGTTTAAAAAAGACAAACATACATAGCAGTAGTTACATATGCCAACCTAGAAAGAGGAGTCCATGATCATGCTATAGACACACCAACTTTGACACCAAAGTTTGATACTATGTGTTTCAAAGACAATAATTGTTTGTGCATGTGTGTGAAACACATGGTGTCAAATGTGAATATGTGATGTCAAAAAGTTGATGAGACTACAGATTTATCCTATAAAGAACCTGAATGAAGCAGCATCTATTTTGACATTTGAATAATGTTTTAACCTTGCACATTAGCTTTCAAAACTTCAAAGCTAAATGGTTAGATGATTGGGTTGAACAGAATATGTTTTTTTATTCAAACTAAATCTGGTTCACACTAGCAATGATACCAAAGAAGAATTTCAACAAATTTGATGTCACCTGCTCCCCCATAGCTCCAGACTTTTGTTAAAATCTTTCTTGTGTCAAAGTTGTTGTGGAAGAGAATGGTCTTTAGATTCACAGTAAACTAAAATTTCAAAACGCCAAAGACCTTGTGGTCTAGCAGCAGCCTGCCCTCCCAAATAGGAGGTCACATGTTCGTTCAAATCCGGGTTCAAATCCGAGCGGGGTATAGACTAAATGAACATATACTAGAAGTTCAAAAGAGCATCAAAACATTTACACCGTACAATACAACTTTGGGCAATAAAAATTCATGGATCTGTTGACTTTTTTCATCTGCTGTTACCTTTTCTTTTCTCTCAAAAAGTCCCAAAAAAGTCATTTAACAAAGCTTGAAACAGTGAGAATATACCTGCTTTGGGAGACATCGTAGATCTGAGCCTTGATGGCCATAAGGAGAGGCTTGTTAGGATCGGAGCCATCATACTGCTTCAACTCCTCCGCGCTGATCTCCCCAACCTGAACCGGCGGCGGCAGAGGCTTCATCTCCTCCTCCGGCTCCCTGTCCCTCCGGCGGTCGGCATGATCGGAGGAGCCGAAGAGTGCGGAAGCCACATAATAAAGGGCGAGGAGAAGTGCGGCAGCCGTGAACAGAGTCGCCGGAGATAGAGACGTGTAAGTTGCGATTGCCTCTTTGAAGGTCTCCCAGAGTTTCAGGTCCATGGTTGGTGAGGGAGACTTTTCCGGCGGCAGGCGATATGAACGAGGTAGGGAGGGAAATTGGAAGACGAGGAGAGTGGGGTTTTTAAAGCAGTGAATACAATGAAAAGAACTGGTGGCAAATCCGTGGGTCTGGTCGAGTCAATTCGGGTTAATGGTGTTATATTGAGTTCGTTGTACAAGCTATTTAATTTTTGACTAACTCATGTAATGCATGGTAAAAATATTATTTATTTAGGTCATGTTCCGTTCAACTTATTTTTTCTTATTTTTTCTTATTATTATTAAAATCAGACGAGATCAGATCCCATAAAGAATTATTATTATTATTATTGTTGTTGTTATTATTACTATTACTATTACTATTATTATTATTATTATTATTCTTAAAAATGAAAAAGATTAAACTTTAGAAACAAGTTAAATAGAAAACTGAGAAATTAATCCTTAATTATTCGACGTCGAAAAAATTATTTTTAAAATACATTGACAATGTCAATCTAATTCTACTTTTAAAATACATTTTTATTGCTACATGTAATTTGAGTTTCTAAAATTTTGATCTTTTACAAAGACGAGATATTTTAATAAAAATACTATCTCTTCTCTGTATTGATTTTATATAAATTAAATATTTATTCTAATGTATGTATGAACTAATTATTAAAATATTAAATCAATATTCTTATTTCAAAAACAATAATCATAAAATAAAAAATGTTATTACATTAAAATATGAATGATTATTCTAATATATAAATTAACTAATTTTATTAAAAAATAATTATAAAATAAAAAATATTGATTATATTATAATATGAATTATCATTACAATTTTCAAACGTTATTATAAACTCAAATCAAATTATTGATTTGAATTTTAAATCAAATCATAATTAATCAGATCAGATCCAATCAGATGAGATGAGATGAGATCAGATCATATCAGATCTAATCAGATCAGATCCAATCAGATCAGACCAGATCAGAACTACAAGAAATCAGATCAGATCAGAAAAAAATAAGTTGAACAGAACAGAGCCTTACTTCTACTACAGAGAATAAATTTAATGCTATAATTGAGTTTATTTTGAGATTTAGTTTTAATATATCAGATTTTTATAATATTTATTTATTTAAAATTATATTTAAATGTGACTCAAGGGATCATTAATTATCTTCATTACAGGTCAAGATCTTTAATTTTTATCAGTTTTTCACCCGTGAGATAAAAACGTAAAATTGACAATTACTGAAAATTTGATTATTTAAATAGAAGATTCACATGTGATAGAAACAATAGCTAGTTTCTTAAACACTAGTATTTTAGCTTGTGCGTTGCACGGATTAAATGATTTTTTTGTCCGATTCTATAATTTTTATAAAAATAGGGTAAAATTTTTAAAGATTCTATTCTTTTGAATCCTAGTCTTAAGATCTATTTGGTTGAAATTAAAATACTTTTCTAGAAATTTTAAATTCTACTTTCATAAGTTCAGTTGCATAAGTGGAAGGAAATCACCGTTTAGAACAAATCTCCAAAGAGGAGAAAATGACTTTCAACTCTTTTGGATGTAAGTTCATTTTTCTATTCAATTCTCAAGTTCATCTTCATTTCTCGAGTTCATTTCCTTCACCTCCATTCTCTCCTCCTGCCCTCCCCCGCCCCGGCCACCCCTTGCCGCAAACCTATAGAATGAAACTCTATAATGAAGATTTGGTATCGGTCGTGCATGTATAAAAAAATAAATTATGCTTTCTAAAATATTTTAAAACTATCTCCAAAAATATCTATTTTATTCATAATGTACTAATATAAAAATTCCCTTTATAACAAATAATGGAAAATTGTTTTTTGTTTGAAAAAAATTGCATATTGAACAATAAAAAGTGTGGGGGAGAATAGTTTTTTCGTGGAAATTATTTCCCCTATTATAATTGTCTAGAAACATAATTTCACACAACCAACTGCACCCTTAACTTTCAATATTTTCCAAGTTCTTCTATTTCTTTTAAACCTTTATAGTTTATATTGACTTTATTCCAATTTAATTCTTCCAACGCCTTTCAACTTTTTCAAACTTCTTTCTACTCTTTCTAGTTTTATCTATTTTTTTTATTTCTTTTAATAGTATTTAAAAATTACTTGCGTACATTTATAATAATAATAATAATATTGTTGTTGTTGTTGTTGTTGTTATTATTATTATTATTATTATTATTATTATTATTATTATCAAAGCACTCCTAAAGCCACCGGCACTAGGGTGGAAGGATTTACCGCGGTGTCGGGGTAAGAGCCATAAATTTTATGAACGGGGCTCCGTATGTAACTCAATTGAAGTCGGTCTGATGCGGAGTCGCTCAAACTCTCAAAGTGAGTAGATCTAGAACCCCTTAACATTCTTATTATCACAATTATTATTATTACTATTACAATTATTGTTGTTGTTGTTAGCAT